GATCTTTCGCAAGACGGTCCTTGTTCGCGCGTAAAGCCGCGACTTGAGCTTCGCTCAGTTCCGTGGATAACATGGCTTGGCTCCTTGAGATCGAGAAAGACCGTTGAGATCGTATGAACGCAGATTTAACGGGATGTGATGGTACTCTTCCCCTGAAAGGAAGTCGGACAGCTGGTGAAGCTGCAAACCTAGAACTCCATGCAAGTGCCATGGCGCCTTTCAACGAAGGAACGACGACAATTTATCTACGAGTCCTTGCTATGAAGAGCGGCCGCTTGATAGGGAACCCCTGCGGAGAAAGCAGAGATAAGATGACTCCTCAGGGTGGGGTAAGGCCTATCAACGCGGGTCTCGGGGATCTCATCGAGTTCAATAGTCGTCAATTGGGTCGTTTCAAGCCGTTAGAAGCGGACTTTTGCCCGTTCATCAGGGTAGGCTGGTTCTCCAACTCGGAAGATTTGGGGTAGCTTCGCACTACGGAGGGGACCGAGAACCTGCCTCGGACGGAGTAGAGAGATACCCTCTAGATGCTTTGATAAAGTACGAACAGACTGGCTTGAGCACAAGCATATACTCATGTCTTTTGCTTCGGTGCAGCTTATCGAAATGCCAAGTCACGATGATCTTGAAAGCGTCAAGAGTTGCACGTAGCACTCATTGACAAAGGCGGAGTGGGAGCGCTCGCAGTGGCACTATAGCCACGGGGCTTACCAGTAAAAGGACACGCACTTTGTACCGTTCCTGCAACATTTGAGGTATACTCTGGGCTAGAATTCCGTAAAAAAGGGACACGGCAATTTAAGAAGGCATTAATCCAAAATCTAGACAAAAATAAAAGTAACAAAATCGACAGCTATGTCGATGGAAAGGTCCAAAGATTGAGAAGAGGAGTATGTTGGGCAAGCCACGGCCATCTCTGGTAAAAGGCAAGAAATGGGTTCTGAGCTAGCTTGTCCCACTCCTCGGGGAAGTCTCCCTAATTTAAAATATAACCCACCTCCGGCTCCAGAAAGGTTCTCCGTTCGAATCCTGCTCTCTTCGCCCTTTTCTTTTCTTTTCGGTTCTCTTGACGTCGCGTACCCCGCATTCAACCCACCTGCCCGCATCTTGAACAGTTCAGACTTCACGATTGATTATTGTCTGTTCTAAATCGGTACTTCATTTTACGTGTATAGTCATCTAATTGATCCACACTTCGTCTACATAATGTCTTCCGCTGCTGCGTGTATATTCTGCAAAATCATCAAGGGTGAGTCCTATCTCCTGCCGCCGAGCTAGTGAGCTTTTGCGTCTCCAACTTTCGCCAGAGAAGCTTGCGATGACGCCGTACGCACTCCTGCTTGATGGCGCTAAGCTTCTTTGTGAAACATAGGTGATATCCCCTCTCTCAAGCTCTTCGAGAGCGACAAGGTCTTCGCTTTTCTTGACATCCAGCCTCTCAGCCGTGGCCATGCGGTAGGTTCTGGCGCCTTTACGTTGAACTGCAGCATAACCTACCCGAGATATCCGTCCTATACCCAGGCATAGGATATTCCATGCAGCCGCTTTGTACACATCTCGGCGGGTCTCACGCTATTAATGTTGAGAAAAGCATTAGTCCGCTAACAGTAGTGCTGAATCGTCTGTAATAGCTCGTGATCCCCAAGTTCCACGGTGCGAAGCTCACCGACATCCCTGACGAAGACCTCAGAGAAGTGCTGGTACGTGAAGAAAGAAAAGAAGACACAAGCTGAATTTCGTGTCACCCGCCCTTCTATACCCTTTGCACATCCCTGAGGACCTTGGGGGATAAGGTCCACGAACTTTGAACTTTGTCCCCCGCAGGTCACAGAGTCCCTACCCAATCCTATTCTCATTAGGAGAAGGCTGACAGATGTTATCTCCAATAGCCCGTGGCCAAGCAGATTGCCAAAGCAAGCGGTGCAGAAGATTACAACATTCTGCAGAACAACGGCCGCATTGCTCACCAAGTTGTTGACCATGTAAGAGACTGATCATGGACGTGGAAAAATGGAAACACGGCGCTAACTCTTACTGTTCTATTTGATTAGGTCCACTTCCACATGGTACGTCTTAGCATTCCTCCTGGTGTATGTAGCAATGGTGCTAACACGCAGATTAACAGATTCCCAAGCCAAATGAGAAAGAGGGTCTTGGTATTGGATGGCCTGCCCAGGCTACCGACATGGATAAACTCAAGGCTCTGCATGAGGAAATCAAGTCCAAGATGTAAACCGACACTTCTACTCCAAAAGTCGCAGTCCTTGGCTCAACACGAAGTTAGCGTGGTCGTTCAGTTCCTGTCGAGCATTTACTGTGTCATTACCAAGGCTTATTTGAAATTCATCTCTTACATCGTTCAGTAAGAAAGTCAAGACAGTGTATGCGGAATTGATGCATTAGTACAGACTGTGATGCTCTATATATACAAACTGTCGTCCAGTACAGATCATGACTCATTTTCTGAGCCCGTCGATGTCCAAAAGGTAATGATAAGTCAGGTCTATAGTACTCAGTCTCATCAACTCTTAACATTCCTGATTATTGGCTGCTGGCCGCGTTTCCCTTCGACATGCTCTCCGCTGAATAGAAGTCGATTTTACCATTACCTTGGATCACATTCAAGCGATCGTACAGGGACCTGGCACGTACGTAAGGGTCAAGCTGCCAGTATTGCACCCTCAACCGCTCAATAAGCTCCTTTCTCCTGTCCTTAGCTGTTGCCACGACGTCCTTGTCTCCTTTGGAGCTGGCCGAGATCCATGAAATGGTGGCATCTTGGATTTCTTTCCCGAGTTCACGTCGCTCTGCTAACAGCTGGTCTCGTGCGGCAGAATCTTCCATCGGCCTATTTTCGTCCGGTTCGCATTCCGCGTACTTGTACTCCCAATTCTCATCACCCTCAAGCTCCTTCATGATGCGATCTCGAGGAATGAACTCCTCCAGATCCTTGACATTCTTAGTGAAATGGACCTTGGCAGCAACGACCGGATCAAGCCATCCTTTGATGATGTTCCAGATGCCTGTGCAGAATAATTTCAGTACATACGGCTTCCAATTTAGGAACGAAGACAAACCTGAGAAGATCCAAGGCGCCTTGTGAATGAGCACCACTCCTAACGATTCAGGATAGTTGGCCTCGAAGCATTTGATCATGAACTTGACCGGAGAGTAGTCCTGCCGAGGTAAGTGAACGTCCATGGCAGATTGAAGATCATGGGCATACCATATTCGCCAATGAGAAGTCGGTCATATCGAAAATGATACACTAAGAATGTGTCAGGTGCATCTCGGCGGCTTTTGCCTGAGATTTGAGACTCACAGCAGTTTCGACGGGAGGCGCAAGCATCATGCGCGCCGATTCAATTGTGTAAACAGTGAAGCGATCCAAGACCTCTTGACTTTGATCACCAGCCTTATGCAGGCGCACCCTGACGACGCAAATTGGCCGGCCTGATTTGTCGACACCGTGGAGGAAACTCTTTCCCCGACGCATTTGCATCAAGAAATCTTCACCAGCTTTCTTTTCAGTAGGGTCGGTACTCTGCGACTGTTTGAGAGCATGCTGCTCGCCATTCTTCATGATATCGTCATCCACCTTCACATCCATCAACCTCCAGCGGATAGTGGAAATAAACATGACGAGAGCATTTTTGACATCCCACTTACGCGCCCGTAGAAAGCGTAAAAGCAGAGAATCGGGATTATCTTGTTTAACCATAGTCCAGAATGTTGCCCGAATCTCCTCCGGCGACATGTCAACCAGAGTTTGCTTGAACTCCTTCGACTGTCCATACTTATCGTCTCCATCAGAAATATTGATAGACGCGAGGTTGGCTGTGATTCCTTCCGCCGGTTTCTCGCTCGCGGCGCCATCTTCACTGTCCTTGCCTCTGCCGAACAGTCCGAATCGTCGCTTGGGCTCTTTCTTGTTCTCCTGCGGCGTGCCGGCCGGCGCTTCCTTAGCTGACTCCAGCGCATCAAGGTTAACCCCAAAGACCTTCAGGAGCAGCACCCAGAATTCCTGCAGTTTCGCTTCCTGCTCTGCCGTGAGATTCCCCACGGTTCCGGGAGGCAAATCGGTAGGCATTGTTTTAAGAGTATCAATGACGCCGAGAAATAGTTCCTGTTCAGGCTGGATATTTTGCGAGATTGATGGAGAAGGCGAGTCGTTCTTGGGATGAAAGCGTTTATCCTGTAACCAAACTCCTCCGCAAATGACAGCAAGAGCGAATGTAACTGTCCAAAATGATGAAGCCTTCCTCGGAGGGTTGTTCCGCGATAATGGTACAGTGAAGCTCGACCGTCTAGCTAAGGAGCCTGAAGCTGAACAAGGCTTCGATGCGCCTCCAACCGGTAATAATGGCAGGGAGTATGAGCGGAAATGGACGGAGTCGGCCGAAGAAAGGAGTAGACGGCGTCGAATAGACGAACAAGCATGCATGTGCTGAGAGATTAATAACGAGGGTCCAGGGTGGGGTCCGTTCTGAAGACTGTGATGTTGTTGGTTGTTCCTATCCTCATTTCATGCCAGACGGGGCAAGGGCACACGAGGATGGGAAATTTGATAATTATTATTAGTAGTACTAAATAGCAGTGTTCTACCTTGGCAACCCCGAACGGTTTATATCATCATTGCTTTGTGGATAATGAATGCCGCATCGGACCCTCGGGGCGCCTCAATTTCCGATCCAATCGCAAATTGGAAAGCGGGGGATCAACAATGCGGCACCCACTGTTTAATTAACGAGGCAAAGCCAGAAACACTCGATATCTAAATACTACCGATCTGTGTTTAGGTCTCCAACAAATTCATTTCTATAGCGATCATTTACAACCCATGATTGATATTCTTTGCTGAGCTGCCCAACTATCTTGCTGGCTAGGCCCAACCCATCACGCGTTGTGGTTGTTTATCGTTGGCCCCGGAACAACAAAGGCTTCGTAGTCAGGTTTCTGGTCAGGTTTCCTCGAACGCTGGGAACTTGCGAGAATCTATGATGGAAACTGCTCTCTCCCGGTCATCCTCGCGCCCGCGACCTTCGTCCAGGCCCACCACTCCTCTGAGGCCCAATTCTCGATCGTCAATCCGTGAAGCCCATGGTTATGGGACGAGTATCAGCAATGCTGGCTACACCCAACCTGCAATCAATGCTCTCGAGCCGCAATTTGCAGAACTTGCAGATTCTATGGCAGACCTTGAGGCGAATTTCATGCACCTTCAGTTGATGCACGAGAGTTTAACACGTTTCAGCGAGAGCTTTGCCAGCTTCCTCTATGGTTTAAACATGAATGCGTTCTGTGTGGATTTTCCGGAGGTATGTCAGAATGAGCCTTACCTCCCAATTAGACTCTTGCTCACTAAGAATTAGGCACCAATAGCAGATTCATTTCGGAGAGCTAAACAAGCTGAAGCTCAAAAAGGTATTATAAAGCACATTCGACAGAATTAACAAGACGAATTATACTCACTAAGATTGCAGAGGCTGAAGCTGAAGAAGTTCGACGAGCTGTTGACGCTGAGGCAACATTTATGTGAGTTACTACTAAGTCATAGCAGCATTGCACATTGGAGGTTATTCTGACCACGACCCGGGGCCACAGGACGACAGATACTTCGTTCGTTGAGAATCCTCCTAGCACGATTTCCTCAAAGCCCACATCCAAACCCTCCATCCCTTCTCGAGGAGCTACTCGGGGGTCTTCGACACGCGGTCGCTATACAACTAGAGGGAGTAATCGGGCCCGGCCCAGCGCATTGCCTCGAGGTAGAGGTGTTCGATGAGCGCTGTTCTGGGACAGTAATTTTACAACTGGATATCCTAGTGCACAACTGTGCTCGTGCGGACTTTCCCCATAAATCAAGATAAGGAAGATAGACAGCACTGTCGAGAACTGGAGACCGAGAAGCGGAGCTCTGACGGAGAAGCGCTGGTCCGGCCCAATGGTGGAGGCACAGCTATACCAGATCAACCAGAGCGCTACAAAGTGCCTGGGCTGCTTCATTAGCATACGCCTGCCTCCATTCGAACCGTAGCCCTTCTCTTTTCAAGGGCTACTTTTGTTGAGACGGATCTCTAACTTGCCATTGCCACTGAAGCCAAATTAGTGTCATGACAATGCGAAATAAAACTATCTTTAGAAATAATGGCCTACGCAATTCTTAGATTTCGTTTCACGAGCACAATATGAGACATTACAAGTACACCTTTACTTTTAGATATCTCCCAAAAGGCGGCGTATCCTCCCAGCAGTAGCCCGGTTCCTTATCGCTCCGAGCGGCGGACCCTGAGGAGAAAAAGATCTCTTGACCAACATCGAGCCGTCCACAAAGCTTCTGTGGCGTCACATAGTTTCCGCTCAATAATCTTGAGGAAACACCTATCATTTTAACGAATTTAGTCATCTGCAGTTCAAGCTTCACTTTTTATCAAGTGTTGCTGCTGGAGTATCATTCGCTCCTCAGGTCGCTTCAGTGCAATCCGACCCGCACGGAACACTTAGCGGTAGCAGGGGAGAGTGAGGTTCACCACAGCCGTCAATAGACTCGAGCTTGGGCAACACAACGCTGAAGATTTCTATTGTTGATTGAGAGGCTGGCCTCTGAAAGCTTCACAATGCGATTGTGAACCCATACAAGGTCTTTGACGACTCTATTCATGAATGCTTTAGTCCGCACTTGACGTGAGCTTATTGTCCTTCCTCGGCTTCAAGAGCCAAGGTATCTGTTGCTAGACGCCTTTCCCAGTCGTCTTATATATTCTGAAGCTTTTCCTTTCAGACTCTCAAATCTTCTTTAATTCTTCTAATACCCTGTCATCCTGATCTTTCCTTTATACAACATCCTTGGAGCAGCTTGTTCTTGTGCTGTCACCGTCGTCACCATGGCCAGCATTACTTCTGCGTCCATTCTCTCGGAGGCTGAATTCGGTTGCGGTAAGCAGGCATCATCACGATACCGTCCTCTCTATAGATCTTCAAACTGACTTGTAGTAAGAGCATCTCGCCGCAATATTGACTCAGAGTGGAAACACTGCCGATCAGTTCAAGAGCTCATTCCTTAGAACTCACAATGCTCTGGCTCCTAGGCCTTTACCTTTGTTTCCTAAGCCTTTAACGGTGGATGATTTCCCGAAGCAAAAGGGAGGCCTGCGTATTGCTTCTTTGCTAAGGCCAAAATACACGTGTTTGACTTGCTCTGAAGTGTGCTCTCCTGCCGATAGACAAGCTCATACGAAAGCCACTGGGCATCAGTTCTGTAAGTCAATCTAATGCGACTCTACAGTAGAAGGTAGCTGACACCACCAGACATGGAGTCAAGGGGACGTACTCTGTTCTGCCAAGGTTGCGGTGACCTCGTCTATGACCATGACTTAGAACGTCTTCGATCGTTACCTTATGGAAATCACCAAGGTTCGCATCCTGTCTATGTTGGTTTCATTCAACCTGCTAAAGTCCAGCAGCATCTAGGAGACGGAGATCAAGCGCAAGTTCTTCTGATGAACAGTTTGTCAGGAACAACGCCAACAAGCGCGCTTGTGCAAAGCAAGGTGTCAGAGGTCTGTACAATCTCGGACAAACATGTTATCTCAACGTCATCCTGCAGACCTTACTGCATGATCCCATCTTGAATGCCTATTTCTTGGGGAATGGCCATCAGTCACACGATTGTTCTGTCCCAGATTGCGTAGGCTGCGCAGTTGCAGAGGCGTTTGCCGATTTCAACAGCAGCGACAAAGCAGAAGGCTTTGCAGCATTGAATCTCCTTCTAGCATCATGGCGTGCGAGTCCTGTAGGTGGTTTCTTGACCGGCTCTAAGAACATTAAAAGTTACTGACGCTTGGTAGACTCTGGCAGGTTACCACCAGCAGGACGCACACGAGTACTACCAATTCCTCGTCGACAAGCTACATGCGAGCACTGAAGGACACGTGGATGATCACGACCAAGGGTGTCCTTGCTTCTTTCACCAAACATTTTATGGCAAGCTTAAAAGCAGTGTGATGTGCGATAATTGCGGCAACATTACAAAAACGGAAGATCCTATGCTCGACCTGAGTCTGGACGTTCAGGTACAGGCGAAGAAACGGGCCATGGGCGGTGGTGTTGGGCCATCAGCGACACCTACACTAAATGGTTGCCTGGAGAGCTTTACGTCGCTAGAAAGGCTGATGGCAGGTGTTTACAATTGCAGTGAGTGTGGCGGTACGCCTCAGAAAGCAACAAAGCGTTTGCGAATCAAGAAATTGCCGGCGATTCTCTGCATGCAGTTGAAGGTATGTCTCTCGTCTCTGACGACCGCGGTGGACCTGGCTAACATGATATTCAGCGCTTCGAGCATAGCTCAGCAGTGTCCGAGAAAGTGGAAGGCAGGGTCGATTTCCCTTTGTCGATCAACATGCTCCCATATACGACACATCGACACAGGGAGGATCTTGACAAATCCAAATTCATCTATGATCTTTCTTCTGCAGTTGTCCACAAAGGCAAATTGGACGCTGGACACTATTACGTGTATTGCAAGCAGGGCGACCAGGTTTGTCTATCCGTTATTTAGTGGCTTATGCCTCGTGTGTCCACTCAGGAGACAACAACTTGACATTGTTGACATGACTAATTCTTCTCTTGACAGTGGGTACTGTTCAACGATGATCAGGTCACTGCGGCCACTGAGGCCGAAGTCCTCAACGCCGATGCGTATCTCTTGTTTTACAATCTACGATTGTTTACTGCTTCTTTGCAGTAGCTCGTCGCATTGCCTCGGCACCCTTCTATCTTCAATAGAGAGGCAACCATCTTTGATTTACCCCTCCTGGCTCTAGCAGAAAGGAGTTCATGGCATCGGAGTTCAATTTGCGGGTCTTATTTGAATTCCAATCGGGAGGGCCTCAACGTTATCTGTATTTGATTGCGTCTCTCTCATTAGGCAGGTAGTTAGAATACCGTGCTAAAGTGGTCGCGCAAGACATAGCTCGGTGATTGCTAGAATTTAATTCCAGCAGTTTTTCTCATCATACGTTCTACGAAGTAGGAATGCTACGTTGTGTGTTCAAAACGCGGAGTTTCAATAGCAGACACCAGACAATCCGTGTCTCTACGAAGAGCGACATTGGCGACCGCATGGTAAAGACCCAAAATCTTTGCTGCGCGATGGGGTATGTTTCTCCAGTCATAGAGTGTAAAGGTGAAGTGAATGATGCCGCACCGGAGGGTTAGACGAAAGGAAAAATTCAACTGTTGCAACCGGCCGCTACGTCCATAAGTAACCTTACTAGACATGGTGGTCTACAGGTGGCATTGGCCCAATTGCAGTCGTATTCGTCACATTCACCACATTGTTTCGCTATGGCGGGCTCGAGGTGTAGGCAAAGTAAAGTTGAAAGGACGGGAGAAAGATCCTCATGAATTCAATTTAAAAATTGAATTGGAAAGATAAAGGTTTCGACATAACACCTTTTGGGTTGTTCACACCGGCATCTCCTCTTCCTCTTTCCTATTTTCCCCCGTTGGAATTCAAGCGGATATGATTCCTTTTTGATTTTCCTCCATGGTAGCTACCGAGCGCCGAGCACGTAACGATTCGTCGTGAAACAGGAAATGGATCGAGAAAGCAGATTTAACGGTACTGGATGGTAGAGGTGATCTGTTAGTGATCCGCTCTTCTTCTGCCAACCAGTTCTCCGAGAGTGTCGTCGGGTTGAACCTGGCCATGGTGTTCCGACTCTGCGGCGTATGTGGGAACCAACCTTGTAGAAACCGATGTCCTGAGCCTTCTCACGGAAGCACTGTCTACAGATGTCCATCTATAACCACAATCAGTCGCATATCCAATGCTGGTTATTCTCGATAGTTGGCTCATTTCCATACCCCGTACTTGCGGATGAGACCAGCGCGGTGGGCGCAAACACGGCTGTTTCGACGCAAATATCTGATTAGCCATTCCTGCTCGCAATCCATGAAATTTCGACCTATCCTCCTGGTATCGCCTGGGGATTTTCGTTCACACACCATTCACGGGAACCCTTGCCGAACCTATCGAGGGAAAAGCGTAATTAGCCAAATCGTATCGACGCATCCTAGAATAGAAGAATATCCTTACTTGCGGGGCCGGCTGTACCAAACGGACTCGTGAGTCATCTTGAATCTGAGACGGGGAAAACCTGGGAGTTGACGGTGTTTGGCAGGTGATTTGTCGTCGCTGGCGCTGGGCGTTGAGGATAAAAGATATTAAGGTTGAAAATGCGTTGTGTGCCTCTGTTCCGCTGCCGGGCTCGGACCATCTCGCTTGAGAAGCGCTAAGCCGTTTCGGGACCCATTAGGCTATTGCGGTCATGTGATTTTGAAGCTCGTTATTTCGGCTCCAAGTCCACGGCGTTTTGTTTCTCCGCAGTGCCTGAATCAGGATGAAGCAAGAAACGACCACATCTGCTCATCAACTCGAGGATAAGCTTAAAGCTACCTTTCTTTATTATTACACGATCGACGATAAGAAAGAAAATCATACCACTGAATCTGTTTACATAGAACAGTTAACATTACTTCTAGCCTAACACTGCCAGTTCGAAGTCTCAAACCAATGCGGATGGGTGGTCAATCCCTAATTGTGGACAAGCCACATCTTCTCGTGGATACCGTTCATTGGAAAGCTTTCAGATTGAAGAGAATCCCGCGCGCTCAACTACGTCCATAGAGAAAGCGCGCCCTGGAGGAAGCCCATATGATCGCCGTTGTGGATTGTCACTAGCACGTGCTAGATCATTGACCTGCATTTAGTCTATAAATCGA